TTTTTTTTTTTTCTTCTTCTTCTTCCATTTTTGCTTGGCATATATTTATCAACAACTATGAAAGAGTGCACAACAACCCCTTACCAAAAAACTTCGTTCTCTTCAATTCATCAACGAGCTGAAAACTCCGTCCACATTTCTTATGTGTCGATTCTACTTATTCTATCATTTTAAGCTTATCAAAATTGTGATAAATGCTGGATCGGTCACATCAAAACGTCTCATAATTATATAGATCATTGTTCTAGTAGCCGCCGACGGCAGTGAGATAATCGTCCTAATGATCAAGATCTTAATATTCATCATCGGGATTCATGTAATAGTCCACATCATCCTCATAATCTTCATAGTGATCATAGTGTTCATCATCATAGTGTTCATCATCATAGTGTTCATCATCATAGTATTCATATTCCTCATCGTCCTCTTCCTCCTTTTCTTTTTTCTTAGCCGCTTCTTTTTCTTTAGCCTCTTCTGCTGCTTTTGCCTCTGCTGCCGCTTTTTCCTCTTCTGCCTTTTTTCCTAGTAACTGTGATTGCTTATAATACAAATTAGCTGTATGATAATCCTTTTGTTTTTGTTCTAAGTACTCATCAATTGTTGAGGGTCCAAAATTCCATTTCCTTTCAAACAGAAACATTTGTTTGCACTTCCTCTTTTTTCTGGTCTCCTGATTATGAAGTATGTTTTTGAGTTCCTTATAATAGGCTGCTTTCATAGAACACCATCGCCTCTTTTTTTTATATTTATCCTTCTCATAATTCATATTTAGACGGTGCATTTTTTGGTCAACATGCATTTTGTTTTTGTCGTAGTATGGGCCTATACCAGGCATAGGGTTTTTCCACGTAACTTCGGCTAGTTCTGCCTTGACTTTTGCTCTTTCATTTTTCCATTTTTCCTCCATTTTTTTCTTTTCCCATTCTATTGTCCTCTCCAGCTTTTTCCACTTATCTGCCATCCAGTTATCTTCAAGTTCAATTTTTCTATTCTCTATGGCCAGGAATTTTAATAGTTTCTTCCTTGCTTCGTGCTTCTTCCTGAGTCTCTCGGATGTATTCCTCTGCAGAAAGTTGAGATTAGGTTGGTAAGTGTGCATTGTTGCTGCACACCGCCGTGTCTGCGTTTTCAACGCGTTCTATCGTGCACCCATGAAGCGCACAAATTTGCACATTCTGCAATACATTCACGAGCAGATGTATGAATGCGGCGAGCACAGGCAGTGACAAACTTTTTCTATTTCAAACTTACGCCTAATCGCATCAAAAGAACGATAATCATGACCGCTTGGAAAAAACTCAACATGTTGTTCGTAGTGCCCAGCTTATTCGCACTATGGTCAACTTTCTCCGTTTTAACTACTTCTGGTTTAGGATTTTGAGCGATTTTTGATTCCATCCTATGAGAACTTTCCCCATTATTATAATGTTCATTTTCTACATAATAACTAGGGAAGCGTCCGCGATGACTGTTACCAACTCTAGGCATATGAGGATTGTGGGGTTTGGACACATAATAGTTCTGATTAGGGGTACGCAATGGTTTCTCAATTTCTACCCTTGTGTACAGGGTAAGCGGGACGTCTGTGCTGTGGGACATTGTTTATTCTATTTGAATTATTTGAAGATGTATGCAGAACTTTATGATTAAATTAATTTGTACTTTTCTTATTAAGCATTATTAGTAAAAATGCTTCTTTTATTTTTTTCGTCCTGCATAATTGTCTAAAAAGGGTTTATTACTCTGT